GATTTTGTTGCATTACATTGCTGATGCCTTCAATTTCACATCCGAATATCCCTTAGGTTTGCAATTAAGAAATGTTTACCCTAAGAAAAATAGCATTGAAAAAGTGCACATAAATTGTGTTTATGGAAGTTGGCTTAGCCATCTACAAGCACAACATTTTAAAGACTTTGTCAGTATTCCTTGTAGTACTTTATTGATGTATTTGTCTCTTTCAACACACATTTGCTGAACTTTCCAAGTAAAAGTTTCAACATTTACAACATCTGTGTGGTCTTTCTTACATTGTTTATATTGTATTATATAATTAAAGTTTTTAATTGGCTAGTGCCTACCTGGTTGTTCAAATACCATTTTGTGAAAATTATTAATTATGCGCTTCATCGACAGGGTACTTAGATTTTCTGTCAAGCCAAAGCAAAATCTGTGTGTCAGAGGGGGATGCCTTATTTTCTTAATTACTGAACTCTTGACTAAATCATCCAGTTTAATGGCTGGTTGACAGTTCTTTTCTCAATTTAAAAAAAAAACATATTCTGCACTGGGGGTATCTATTTTATTCACTGTCCACACCTTTTAGTGTTCCCTGTTTTCCCATATGCACAACGTTTTGCTCTCCAGAGGTCTGCTGACAGGAAGAGAAGTCAGTGGCATGAAACTTCCACATGAAGTATACCAGAAAACAGAAGCACAAATGCAGCTAGTTATTAAATTGAGCCCTAATATTTTAATTCAGAAAAGAAATAGTAGAATTTTCTTATATATTCTGTTAACTTTTCTAAAACATTTTAGGAAGTTTTTTTTTCAGGATTTATTTATTACATTTATATCCCTGCTTTCAACCAAAGCAATCAGAGTGGTTTACAGATTAGAATACCAAAAACAGGTCAAATCAGAAGCTACAGAGGATCTGATTAGTACAGATGTGCATATTCATCTCTTGACAGCTGCCACATTTGAAAATTACTTTTAGGGCTGTTCATCCAATTCACCGAAATTGCCAATAAATAAGTGATGATTTAGAGTTAGGCTGGTTTGTGAAAGATCCAGATTGGAATGGGTTTGGCCCAATTTGGTTCTGGAGTGGAATGGTATAGCCCAAAGTGTTTTCAACTGATCTGGAGATCCAGACATTAAAAAATATGTAGTATAAAGCCTGCCACTGTGTCTCAACCTGACCATATATTGAAAACTCCAAGGTGGTAAGATGCAGAGGGGGAGGAAGGGAGCTGTGCTGACTTTTCTGTTGTCACCCTGACTCTCATTGTAGTGTTTACGGGATGGGATTATACATTTCATCTCCTCCTGAGGTCTCTTCCTTCTTTGTTAATAGCAGTTCATGAAACAGTTGGCAATCTGGAATCCCAAATCTCTGGCTGAGAGGCAAGAATTTGTGGATTGTCGTCTGAGTTGGCTTCACTCAGTCTTTTAATTTCCTTTGTTTCATTGAGTCACATATTTTATTCTTCTGCTTCCCCTTTGTCTGCTTAATAAATCTCTAGATGCTTTAGGACAGTAATGAAATCTATTCTCCTTCCACCATCTAATTCCATGTTGTTGTTGTTACTAGGTGTTAGAAGTTAGGCAATCTGAGTCACCGTAGAAAAGTCAGAGTGTTGAGATGAGAATAGATTCCAGGATTGCTATCTGCCTTCATTGTAAGCAACAAATAAGGGTTTTTAAAAAACTGCCTTAAAACACTAAAAGTCTGCTGCAATACCATAATCTCAGCAGTAGGACCTGCTGGATTGTTCCTGCAAAACAACTGTCATATCATTATCATATATCAGTTGACTGATGTTGTAGAGACCATGGTCAGGACAAAGCTGTCTCGATTATTTCGGTAGAGAGGTGGGATAGAAATAAAATTATTATTATTAATAATATATTATTATTATAAAAGGAGCCTTAAAATAATAGCCAAGATTGATCAATCAACAAAAGCTTTGTAAAAGGGGTTGTGGTAGTTGCTCTTTTCTTAAAGCTGACTTTAGAGATACGTAACACAAAAATCCCTGGAGTTTTCCTTCTGAAATTGGGCTTTTAAACGTTGTAGCCTTTAGGATCTCCCAGTGAATCAATGGAGAAGGACTGGCGATCTGGAATCCCAAATCTCAGTTCAGATTCAGGGTCTGAATCAGAATGGTCTGGATCCAGTTCAATTCAATCTGAATCATACTCAAATTCAAATCACCAAATTGGACATCAAACTGAATTGGGGACTTATTCACAGCCTTAATTATTTGCATATACAAATGAACCATTGCAACTCAAAACACCTAGAAAGCTTTAAAATTCACTTGATGTCACTTTCAAATGCAATAAATCTCATTTGTGTGTTCAGGCATTTACTCCACTATTGAGAAACTGAGGCTTCAGCTCTATGCTCATGCAGACATATTTGACAGAAAGGATGCAATCCTATACCCTTTTTATCTAGAAACACAGAAGCGAGAAATCACTTCAAAGTGAGAGGAGCCATTTTTAATGGAATTTGGGGAAACTCTTCAGTAGATAAGTAACACATATGGCCAAGCAAAGATAGAGACTTTCTCCTTGCTGTTTTTTCACTTGTGCTTTAAGGAAAAACATTCAAAACATTGACGACAGTCAAAGGAGTAGTAGTACCTGTAAAGAAAAATGAATGCACATTGCTATGTGATGAAAAGGACCAGTCTGAGAGGCATAGAGGCCTGGTCAACCAGACTGGGATTAACTGGATGCTTATAAATAGGAGCACTCTTAGGTTTGCTGCTTAGGTGCCTACTGATTTATGAGTTGGGTCGGTTCTGGTCACAGACACATGTTAAGCTTTCCTAAAACTGGGCATTCCACAGCCCTTCCCCTTTTGTTGAACTGTATCTCCCATCAGCCCTCATCAGTGCTGAGAGATGGTAGGAGTTGCCATCCAGTAACATCTGCACAGCCAGAAGGTGCCCTCTTGGTGTTTAGTGATATCAGTCTCTCATCAGATGAATTGCAGAAATGCCTCCTTCCTCTGCTCTTAGAACATTTGGGATCATTTTTCCTCTCCTCTCTTTGCTTTGAGACAATTGTTTAGAGAATTTCAGTTAAAGTCTCTCCCTGGCAAAGGGGCTGTACAGCGCACACCAGTAACAAAAGCATAATACAGAAGCCAAGGCCTTCTGCCATAACCGCCTGAATCTATCGCTTCATTGGTGGAACACACTATTGTCTGCAAGAAGTGCAAATATGGAGAGACAGGAAGGAAGGCTCCTTGATCATATGGGATGTGGGACTTTGACCATAATTGGCATTAATTTCCCTTGCAAAGACTCTAAATGGGGATTATCCAGAGTCCTGGGTGCCATGAAGTGGAGCAGCTTCCTTGCGGTAGTCTCAAGTGTTGCTATAATTATCTTGTTTATTATTTATTTCAAGGATTTGTATCCCGCCTTTCTCCCACAATGGGATTCAAGGTGGGTTACAGTAATTTAAAAAGAGAAGTCGTTATAATAATAATAATAATAATAATAATAATAATAATAATAATAATAATAATATATTTTAAAAATTAGTGCCTTCAAGTCTTCTGGTGACCCTAAGAGGGGATTTTCTTGGCAAGATTTGTTTAGAGAGGGTTTGCCTTTGCCTTCCTCTGAGGATGAGAGAGTGTGACTTGCCCAAGCTGCAGATGCGGAAACTGGAGAAGAGCCCAGATCTTCAAAGATGGTGTGAAATCCTCGCGTTTGCACAGGGGAAAAAAAGTTTATGAGGGGCACGATCTGCGGCTTGCAGCTTTTTCTAAGTGTGAAAGAGGATCAACTTTTCTTCCACGTTCCCAACACACTCACACACACTCATCCTGGTCATAATAAAGTTGATAAATGGGCAAGTGAAGCAGATGCCAGACAATGCAGTCTCAGCCAGGGCCTCTTATTCCGAGATAGTAGCTAGCAATCAATCCTCTCGATTTGCTTCCAAGTCAACATGAAAGAGCCAGCGTAGCTAGTGGTTTGAGTGTTTGTTGGATTAGGACTCTGGAGGAGAGCAAGCTTGAAGACAGACTCCCTGCTCACCATGGAAAACCTACTGGGTGACCTTCGACAGGTCACACGCTCTCAGCCTCAGGGGAAGGCGGTGGCAAACCTCCTCCGAAGAAACCATGCCAAGAAAACCCCATGAAAAGACTTGAAGGCACCCAATGACAACAAAACATGAGTAATAGAACTTTTTAAGTGTTGGGTTCCGGGTAGCCTTGGGCAAGTCACTCTCTCTCAGCCTCAGGGGAAGGCAAAGGCAACCCACCTTCTGAACAAATCTTGTCCACCCCCCAAAAAAAAAAAAAAACAAACTATGATAGGCTTGTCTTAGGGTCACCATAAGTTAGAAACGACTTGAAGGCACACAAGAACAACCAACATGAATAAGCTCAGTTTGCACATGTTTCTAGAAAAAACAAGGAGACTTGAAAATGTCCTCAGGGTCTCTCTGTTTCTGAAAGTGTGGAGTCTTTATCTCTCTGGTTTTGCAAATAACTTGGGAAAGAGAGGCAATAAAACCCAGGTTAGCTCTGGGCTGACACTGGCATCTGCCCTCACTTTCGGGCCTTTGCAAACATTGGTCGCCTTCTCCAGGGATCCTGGGTGTGGTGTGGTGTGTGTGAGTGTGTGTGGTGTGTGTGGGTGGGTGGGTGTGGGTGTGTGGTGTGTTTACACCCAATGGCCCATCAGATCAATGGGACTGACCAATGTGTGTTAACTCACCTTTCCAGAATTGAATTAAGGGTGACCAGATGTCAGAACTACAAAGGAGGGACAATCAAGAAAAATGGGGGACATTGCCAAAGAAAAGCTCAAAACATACAAAATAGAAATGCCTACTGCTTAACCATGCTCCAAACGGAGGACATTTTGAAATTCCTCCTGGACAGATGGTTGACATGTAGGACAGGTCCTGGAGAAGGAGGATGACTGGTCACCCTGAATGGGTTGGTGGACTCTAGGTGGGATCACCCAACAGGATCCCTTCCTGCCAGGAGAGCCAGGGTGACCTAGTGGTTTGAGCGTTGGACTACGGCTCTGGAGACCTGGGTTCAGTTCTCTGCTTGGCCATGAAACCCACTGGGGGACCAAGTCACACGCTCTCAGCCTCAGAGGAAGGCAAAGGCAACCCCCCTCTGAACCAATCGTGCCTAGGAAACCCCATGATCGGGTCGCCACAAGTTGGGGAAGACTTGAAGGAACACAACCACCACCACCACAATTCCTTCTTGCCATGGCGGGACTTCCCTCGCTGGGCAAAACTTCCTTTCCGTGGCCGCTTTGGAGGCAGGGGAGGGAGCCTTTGGGGCGAGATCCGTAGCAGGCAGGCAG